TAATAAGTGGAATTATTATTAAAATTTTTATTTCATTTATTTATTTATTTATTATTCATTTAAAAATTTTAATTAAGAGAAAAAATTTAAAAAAATATAAAATAAATTATACAATTAAGAATAAATATTTAAATTTATTTTTAAAATAATAATTAGAAAAGAACCGTCAATTTTTTTTGGTCATTTACATGAATTTCTTCATCATACTTTTTATTTCAACACCTTCAGCTTTTTGACCACTTTTCATTGACCATATCTTTTGTTTTAATTTTATAAATTTCGCCATAATTGAAATGAAATAGCGAATTAGGCAATTAGCAGTGACGTTTGGCTTTTCTTGCTTATTTTATGATAACTTTGACAACTATGACTTTGATAACTTTGATAATAAAGATATTCCCATCTTATATTGATAAGTTGCTTTCGGCAAATACAAATGTACTCCAAAATGATTGAATTTCATTAGCACAATTTTCATAATTTCATAATTTTTCGTACTAATGTGATATGCAAAATTACTGCATACTTGGAAAGAACCAATTGATTTAATGCGGAATCAAATTTTTAATTCTTATAATTTTATAAGAAAATTTTTTTTATAATCAGGAAGAATGACATGAAACCTTTCTTAAATTTCGATATTTTCGGGAATTTTCAGAAACTAAAATTTAAATAGCTTAGCTCGTTTTCATCGCATTTTCATCACTGATATTTGATTACCAAATGTTATAATTTTATATTTTCGTTTCAAATGCTTCAAACTCCTTAGACAAGAAAATGCTTCAGATTAGTGATAAAAACTTTAAAAACTGATAAAACCGTTTTAAACAAAATAAATATTCTATATAGCGAAAATCAAGGATAGAAATTTGTTAACTTTCTCTGCCTTCATGCACAATAAATTCTTTTCCAATATGCTTGGTTTATTTTATCTTCCATAAACGCTTCTTTTATAAGGCTTCTATATCGATAACTCTTTTATTCTCGATACAGTATTTTAAAAAGAACCGAATCCTCCATGTGAATTTTGTAAGTATGCAAAACAGCAAATTTTCGAAATTTTCTGGATTTTTCATGGAAAGAAAATTGAACAACGCGTTTTCTCAGAAATTTTTACTAATTAAATTAAATTTTGTAGAATTTTTAATTTTAATTTTCAATTTTTGTACTCATCTTATTTAATTGTAAATTTAAATTTCAAAAAGAACGAAAGATTTGGAAAAAAGGATTCAATTCAAATTTTATTTTGACACGTTTTAAGCCTATAAAAAATTATGGCTTTAATTTTCTATCACTAGAACAGAATTTGCACTGGTTTGTGCTCATACCGCTCCATATGGTCTAACATTTGGCTGTGGTGTAGAAGAACAGTTATGGTGTTGTTCTCAACATGATATGGTGCCCCAGGTGTTAATGTATTATTGGCGCAATAGCTGCAAAATTTGACAAAATGAAAAAATTTTCACATTTATAAAAAAATTTTACATAAAACATTTGCAAGGAAAAATTTTAGTGCTAAGAATCCTTTGTTTTGCAAAAACACATGTATTTAGGCAAAGATCTTCCACAAGCTTTGGATATTTTTTAGGGAGATTATTATTTTGGAGATTAATTTTTGGAGATTATTATTCTCAGAATCGGCTAATCTCCTACGAATCTTTTATTATTATTATTAATTTTCATAAAGAATTGATGGCATATGGATTGTTGTTATCACTCAAGAATGAAACCAAAAATATGCCAGTTCTACTCTCAGTAGGAATACACTCGTTCTTGAAAATTCTGGGTAGTACCGGTAACAAGCCGTAATTCTATTGCCAAGTAAATCTTCTGTAAAATTTTCTCCTGATTGACGATGGTTCAAGCCTATAGCAATAACAATGGTTTTAGGAGAAACAATGGCTTCTTTTGTCAAATCGCAGCTTTAGCAAAATTAGTTTAAAAATTATTTAAAAATTTATTTCATATTATTATTTCTAATAGATCAAAATATTGACAAAACTATCGAATTGAATTAATCAAAAGTGAAAATATAATAGAATTTACTACGAGAAAAATTGTGGAATTTTGTGGAAAATTATGGAAATGGTGTAACTGTAATTGTAGTGAATTAAAGTGTTTTACAATTTTGTAATATCCAATGTTTTGCAGCAAGGTAAGGTCCATGAATATATCGAATTAAGGAAGTATCGAATGTTGAAATACGACACAACTTACCACGAGCACAACTGTAGTCCAATATTCTGCCGTACAAAGTATAATTTACTGCTTTTTACATTTTTAATTTTTATTAAATTATCATTTTATTTAATTACGGATTTATATTTCATAAAAATTGAACGATTTTGATAAAATTGAGTTGAAAATATATTTCGATTCCACTTTTATTTGAACCCATTTTGAGTCCATAAAAAATTAGTGCTTTCACCCTCTATTACAAAGACCGCAAGTGAATTTGTATTGGTTTGCATACACCGCACCGTAAGGTCCAACGCATAGATCTGGTCTCGAATGGCAATTAACTCGTTCATCGCGACATACTGATAATGCTGGTGACGGCGCAGAAATAGTTTCTGCAGTCAGTTAGGTATTGGTACTCGTCTGTATAAATATTTTATAAAATATTTTATAAAATAATAAATATTTTAAAAACGCTGTTAATTTTGCGACAAAATTATTTAAAGGAGATATAAAATACATGCGACATTAAAAAATATATTAAAATATATTTTTATTAAATTTATTAAATATATATATATTTATATGAAATAAAAATTAAAATATACTTTTTTTCAGAAAACTTACGATTTAAGCAGTCTAGAGAATTACATGAGCTCTGACATAATCCTTTTATTCTCGCATCACTGCAACCACCTAATCTTACTAAAATGTCGCATTCTTTGATTGTGTTTGGACATCTATCCCTCGCACCTGGTCGACGACAAAGGCACAAGTTTGCGGACACGATCTTAAAGCATCGTAGAAGGCTGCCGTTTGACACATTGCTCGAGTGATATTCTCGCAATTCGCAACTATAATAAAAATCTATTGAAAATTACCAATAAAGTAGCTATTTACAAGAATATTTCCAAAAATATCGAAATATCCAAAGTAAAAGTGTAACGCTTACCATCAGCGAAACTGTAGTCCAATGTTTTGCAGCATAATGCGCATTTACTTGGGCAAAGATCTTCCGCAAGCTTCGGATATTTTTTACAATTGGCAGAGACTTTATAATTATCAAAAGTGTTAGAAGTTCTGCAATTTTTTTGCCGTTAATAATTTCACAAATCTTTTTTTATCAAATGATTCTTAGTATGGAATAGCTGCTCACAGCATAATTCATTGGTGCTGCATAAATGAGAAAAGCACGAGAAAATTTTAATTTTAGTGGAAGTAAAAATAAGAAAACAAAATTATGCATAAAAATTATAATTACTGATCATTGCTATGATTAGTTGCATAGCAGGCTGGATTTTGAAGAATGAATAACGTACAAGAACCAGCGTCGAGGTCGAAGCAACTTCGTGTTCTGTCGCTGTTTTATCAGTCCAGGATAAATTTCGTAGAGACGCCCTCTGCGACAGAAGGAATGTATTATCAATATCTTCCGGATCTCTGATAGATAGTCTGTCGCTCCATAATTAGTGCAATAAAGTGCTGAATCAATGAATATTTCCCTAACTACTTTTATTTTCATAAGTTTATCCCCGTATTCATTCAAAATTTTCCATTTCTTCCTACACATTCCACCTATTTTTGTTGTTAATTGCTAATTTTTCCATTTCTTCCTACACATTCCACCTATTTTTGTTGTTAATTGAAGATATGCTTTTAAAGCCAATGGAATTTTGATCAACATAGAAAAATAATGAAATTCTGTTAAATATTTTAGGGACAAATACTTTAATGAATCAGTTTTCATTCCGATTATTCATTATATCTAAATTTAGAAATTTAAGTTCTCTCAGGTTTTTCTCGAATTTGTTAGTTTTCTTAGGCTTCAGACACAGTAAATCATTTCTAGATTCCTAGCTTTTCCTTTCAATACCTCGTTGCAGTAAATTGTTGTAAATTGTATATATTATGTATCATTATATTATTAATTTATATATATATATATATAAATCACTCCCAGGCTTAACCGTGACGGCTAACACAGTGAAGAAAGTAGAGCGGATTTTCTTCTTGACACAATTTATTCGAACCTAAGCATCTATTTTTACAATTTCATGCTTCAAGTGGTTTAAACCAGAAAATGCTAACTCTCGATGATTAAAACAATTTAAATTAAATAAAAATTAAAATTAAAAGCAAAAATTAAAACTAATTAAAACTTGATGATTAAAACTAAAAAAGTTTATTTTTTAAATTTATTTATTTTTTTTATTTTACATGAATTTCTTGTTAATATAGATTGCTGTTGAAAGGCTCAGGGAACAATGCAAGCAATTTAAGAAATAAAATTGCTTAAATAAAAGATCCAAAAAAGGAGAAGTAATGAAAATGGTGAATACGTTTTAGAAGGAGGAGGATAGTCGGCTTTCTTAGGTTTTCCAAATTTTGCGACGTTAAATTGCTTTATCTAATTGTGCGACTTTTGTAAGTTTCAGTTGGGATTTCTGTTCGTTTGCCGAACTTTTTAGCTTTTTTGCTATAAGAATATTTTTTATTCTTCAATTTGAGGAGAGAATAACAATGAAAAATCTTAGCAAAACTTTGTAAAGTAGCGAATATTTGATCTTTTAAAATTTTTTATATGAAAACAAATTTTAAATAATATTGAATCTTTCAGAACTATTTTTTATATTTGTATTTATTATTATTTCAAAATTTTTTTATTTTTAATTTATTTCATAACTTTACTTTTTTATTCCATAATTTTGCTTTTTATTCCATTGAAGCGTAAGTTTTTTTCATAAAAACTGGACGGTAATTTTGAGAATAGAATTCAAATTTTATTTCAACAAATTTTAAGTTCATAAAGAATTATAACTCTTTTATCCTCTATTACAGAGACCGCAAGTGAATTTGCACTGACTCGCGTACACTGCACTATATGGTCCAGTGCACAAATCTGGTCTTGAACGGCAATTAACTCTTTCATCACGACATAGGGACAGCGCTGGTGCCGTAGTATTTTCTATCAATCAAAAAATTTTGTTTTTATTGTAAATAAATAATATCTGGTAAAACCAAAATTTTCATTAAAATCAGTTTATTATGAATCTATACAAAAATTCCTATGAAGAAGCTTCTTGTTGAAAAGCTTACGTGTTAAGCAGTCTAACGAATTACATGAACGCTGACATAATCCTCTTATTCGCGCATCATTGCAACCACCCAATCTTACTAAAATGTCGCATTCTTTGATTGTATTTGGACATCTATTGCCAGCACCTGGTCGTCGACAAAAACCACAAGAATGCGGACACGATCTCAATAGTGCATCATGGAAATGTGGCGTTTGACATATTGCACGAGTGATATGAGCGCAATTTGCTACTACTATAAATATCAACTGAAGATTATTAACAAAAGGATAGTTTTTTATACTATCAAAAATATCGAAACATATTTATAAGAAATAAAAATACAGTTCTTACGATCAGCGCAGTTATAGTCCAATGTTTTGCAGCACAACGCGCATTTGCTCGGGCAAAGATCTTCGGCAAGCTTCGGATATTTTTTACAGTTAGCCGCGACTTTATAATCATTAAATGCTTGATCATTTCTACAGTATTTAATGATTAGTATTTGCATAAGCCTAACTTTATTGTATTTTCCTCATACATTAATGTAAATAGGATAATTCCTTCCTATTGAATATTACAGTGAAATATGATAATTGTGAAAAAAAATTGATTTTTATGTGAAAATTTATTGACATGTGGAAATATAAAAAAAAATGCCTAAAAATTATACTTACGGATTATTGTTAAGATTAGTTACATAACCGGCTGGATCTTGAAGATTGAATAACGTGCAAGAACCAGCGTCGAGATCGAAGCAACTCGTCGGATCTACAGTAGGACGTTTTTTGCTGCTCATGTCGGTCGTCTTCACCACGTCCTTTACACATTGATCAATGACTTCATCTTGAGCTTGTTGCAAATTTACAAAATTTAGAAGGAGAGAAAGGAAGAGAAATGTGAACATCATACCCCATAAAGCTTTGATCTAACTCAGCAAAATTTAAACCTTTTTATATTCTTTTTATATTTTTTATATATCCTTTTTATATTCTTTTTTTCAATTAAATATAATAAAAATAATAATAACGGCAAACAGCAGAAATGGCAAACATCATTTTATAATTTATTTGAAATTTCATTTGTTCAAAATAAATATTTTTGGATTTTTGTTATTTGTGTCGCATATTTGATAAAAAAATTTGATAATTTTTATCTTTCTAATAGCGTTGATATTGTTTAGATAGAATTTTCAGCAACAATAATTTCTATGATTAGTTTATATGATTAGTTTTACAGCTAATTTTTTTTTTTAAATTATAATTATTATTATTCTAAATTATTATTTTCTCATATTTGTTTATTTTCACATATTTATGAAAATTTTTGATTTCTTCTATTATAGTATACAATTTCCTGAAAAATTTTAAAAATTATAAATTTTAAAAATGCTTAAATCTTAAATGCAATTAAACTAAAAAAAAAAATATTCAAATAATAAATATTCAAATACTCAGTTTCTAGCTGTTTTTCGTCTTGGCTTTCGCTTGAAAAAATATCGAAATTTCTAAAAATTATTCGGCGCAAAGCATTAATTAACGAAAAAAGAAGTCAAGAAGAAGTAAATTACTAAGTCATTTTCCAATTCTTTTTGCCTAAATTAGGAAGAATCATTTAATTTTATTTGATTAGCTAACGATTTTTTGTATAAAAATGATAAAAACTATCTATCGATTTCAAAATTCAATAAAAAATTTAAGCTCAAATGAATTAAATTAAAAGCAGTATCAACGAATCCCTTCGTTTAGAATGATAGAGTGATAAGAATTATTATTATATTCTATTTTAATCATTCATTTTGGCAAATTATCACTAGAGAACTTTTCACCATCACTTTTTAATTTAGTGGATTATCAGTGATAAAAAATTATAAGCAATTCGAATTATTTTTTTAGAAAAAATAAAAAATTAACAGAATCTATCTATTTTATTTATTTAAAATATTTGAGCAGATGCAAACGATTGAACGGGAACGGTTTCATTCAAAACTGAAATGAAAACTTTTCAATTATTTTTTTAATTGATAAAAATCCAAAAAATTTACGAGAAATATATGAACACGACATAATGAAAAAACTTATTATTTTGGAAGGTAATATAATTTTAGAAATCCAAGAAAATATTTGAGCAGATGCAAACGATTGAACGGGAACGGTTTCATTCAAAACTGAAATGAAAATTTTCAATTATTTTTTTAATTGATAAAAATCCAAAAAATTTACGAGAAATATATGAACACGACATAATGAAAAAACTTATTATTTTGGAAGGTAATATAATTTTAGAAATCCAAGAAATACTGGAAAAAGCAATTTCAAGAAAGGCAAGCAAAAGTAAAATGTTTGGCCAAGTTGAATTGGCCTTCTGCCCTAAATGAATAATTTTTACAAATTACAGTTGAAAAAGCACTTTTCACAGAAATTTATAAGTTTTAACTTGTTAATCCAGGACAAATTTCGCCAGAGGTATCTATGGTGACAAATTAATAAGTGGTTTCCAACATCGTTCGAATTTTTGATAATCATTCGGCTGTCCCAAAATTAGTGCGATATTCCACTGAGTTGATGACGATAATATTTCTGTTTTCGTGTTCTGTTTTTCACTAAATTCTGTTAAAATTTTTTTCTCGGTAAAATTATTCATTTGTTCCTAAGCTTTTCATTTATTTTTTCATTCTTTTGAATTTTTAATAAATAAATAAAAAATTTTTTTGAAAATTTTCGTCGATTTTTCGCAAAATATATTTTTTAAGCCAATGAAATTTTAATGAAATTAAAAAACTAATGGGAATTTTTAAAATATTTTTAAAATACTTTTAGGCTAAATACTTTAGCAAGTTGGCTTTCAATCCAATTTTTACATTACACATAAATTAAGACTCGGAAATTCAAGAAGTTCGCTCAAGTTATTAGAGGGATAAGACAATTTTTAAAGAGAAATAGAAGTACAGCTGGATTCGTTCCTAGTTTCTTTCATGGTGAATTTGTTCCTTGTAGAGATTTAATCGTGATGCTTTGTCTATTAGTAAAAATTGTTGTGCTTTTATCTTTCGTAAGAACAAAAAATAGTGTTAAGTTAATGGAAATCATCGTTTTCTAAAATTTTCATTTCGATCGAAAAAAATGAACTTTTCATAAATTTTTCGCAATTTTTTCGGATTTTTCATTTAAAGAAAATTGAAGAATTTTTTCCATATAAATTATTGTAAATTTTATTGTAAATTATAAATTATATTTTAAGCTTATATTTTTGCAATTTTATGCTTTTTCTCGAAATGTTTCCAAGCTGAAAATGTTTCAGATCAGTGCTAAAAACTTTAATTAAATTTCATTTTTATTTACCATTCAATATAAATTTATCATTCAATATTATTATAAAAACTAAAAAACTAAAAAAAATAAAATTGTTTATTCTTCGCTTTTCTTGATATTTTATGCCTTTCAGAACAATTTTCAATATTTATATTTGTAATTTATATTTATAATTTTTTTATTTTTTGATAAATTTATTAAATTAAATTCTTTGATATTAAATTTATTAAAACAATAATTTATTAAATTTACTAAATTAATAAATTATTAAATTTAAAAATTTAATAAATTTTTTAAAAAATATTTAAATTAACAAATTAACAAATTTATTTTATTGCATAATTTTAATTTATAAAAGTAAACTGTCTTGAAAATAGAACTCGATTTAAGAACTTTATTTTAAGAAATTTTAAGTTTCAAAAATTTATGAAATTCACCCTCTATTACAAAGACCACAAGTGAATTTGCATTGGCTTGAATGCACCGCTCCATATCGTCCGACACAGAGGTCTGGTCTCAAACGGCAATTCATTCGCTCATCCTGGCATGGTGCCGCAGCTGCAGACAACAAATTAGAGTCGATTAAAGATAAATTCTAATAAAATTACGATTTTTTTTGTAAAGAGATATTTTTTTTTCATATAAAACATTTTCAGGAAAAAATTTTAGTACTAAGCTTCTTAGAAATATATTCTACAGTTGAAAAATTAACATTTCAAGCGATCAAGGAAATGACATGAATCTTAATGACATGACATAATGCGTATCGTTGTAACCAGCCAATCTTACTATCAAAATGTCGCATTCCTTCAGTATATTTGGACATCTGTTACCAGCACCTATCATATACAATGGCCACAAGTTTGTGGACACATTATTGATAAAGTTTCAAACAAAGTTGGCATTTGTACAATCCGCAACTGCAATCAGCAACTAAAAATTACTTTTAAAGATTCTTCATATCTATACAATAAAAGTTATAAAGAATACTTGTGGCTGTTAAGACATTAAAATACTTAGTAAAATATGAGAATTTTATTAACAAAATTATGATTTTAATAATAATTAATATAATAATAGTAATACAATGCAATACAATATATATATTTATATTTATATAATCTGCAAATTATTGTCCTTCGAATACAATGCAAACCGTTGTTGCAACGATATTCCTTTGTTTTGCACCACGATGCACACGAACTTGGACAAAGTTCTTCAGCAAACTTTGGCTATTTCTTTCGATTTTCAGAAACTTTATAGACATCGAAATCTTGTTGGCTTCAAAGATTTTTTAATACTTTCATTAATATTTTCATATTGAATTAATGGTAAAGAGGTTTATATTATCATTTCACTGCCCCTATGTCGAACTTTCCTGTAGGTGGGAATGAATCCGAGCTCCAACATTATGGATATTCTGCGCCATTGCCTGAGCATCATGGTTTCTAGCAGCAAATTAAAGAAATTAATAAAGGATTGCTAGGAACAGACCAAAAGTTCTTCGGGCAAGTTTTGGATATTTTCCATAGTTTTCTTTATAATCAAAAGAGCTATCGTTCCTGCAATTTTTTATGAATAATTTTTTTAAGAAAATTGAAAAAATAAATAAAAAATTCTTATAATTGAAATTAAAAAATCTTTTTGCATCAACGATGTTCTTTTCATTAAACAATGTTTTTAATATTTAATATTTTAAAAATATTTAATATTTTTAATATTAATATTTTAATAACATTAATATTATTTATTATTATTATTTATTTATTATATTTATTGATTTTCGCAAATTCAACACCAGAAAGTTTTAAATGAATTTTCAGTAATTTTTCAGTAAAAGTCGAAAATGATTCGAATTATTTTTTAAATAAATTTGAAATTTACGATCCATCTTTTCTATTTAAAATGTTTAAACGATTGAATGGAGACGATTTAATTTGAAAACATTTTTAAATTAGTTTTCATATCGAGAAATTTCCTAAATAATGGAAATACAATTAAAATTGTTTTTTTATTAAATCAGGAAATTTCAATAAAGAGAAATTATTAAGAAAAATATAAAATACATAAATTAAAGATGATAAAAAATATGAAATAAAAAAGGAGCATTGATTTTTTTGGTCGTTTGAATGAATTTCTTTGCCATTTTTTTCATTTATTTTTTTATTTTGACCAATTTTCTTTGGTTTTTTTCTCCAAATTTTCAAAAAATATTTTGAATTATCCGTGCATTTTTTAATTTTCCGAATAAAACAAATTTTACTAAAAGTCAAAGAATTAGGTGAATTAGTAAACTGCGAGATTCAATTCGACTGTTTCCTCATACACGTTTATCATATTTATAATATTTATAAATTTATATTAATAATATTATAATAACATATAATAATATTATAATATTATATTTATAATATGTTTTCACCTCATAAATTATTTATATTTTTGGAGAATACAAATGCGATAGGTGAACACGTTCAATATTTGAAAGCAATCAGTTGATTTAATGTAGAACCAAATTTTATTTTCGACCAGAAAAAATGAAACTTTTCCTAAATTTGGAAGTTTTCGGGGGAAGAAAAATTGAATGACGTTTTCT